CGGTTGTGTTTGTCTGACCTTGTTTTTCCAATGCCTGCCTAGCAATAAGTTTTGGATCTGCACATTTAGGTACTAAAATTCCTTTCATTGGTACAATTTCACTGTTCTTGTCTGTCTTGGGATTTTTGTTAGTCACTGTTCTATTTTCTGGATCCTCGTTGTCCGATTCCATTACTGTTCTGTCCGATTTGGTTAAAATTTTTCTAGCATTTTCTTTTTTTCTTTGGCTTTTGCCAGCTATAAACCAGTCCGCGGCAACCACGGAGCTATCCCCCTCAGCATTTTCCGACGCTGACGCGTCGGCCATTTTATATTAAGCACAGTATTCTTCTTGTGTATATGTATATAGTAATGAAAACGTTTTCAGAGACTTACCTGGTCATAACTTTTTGCACTTCTGTATTTCCTATTTTTCTTTGTTTTCCCTTATGTGTCCTAATACCTATCACCCTTTAGATCTCCTGTCCTGTCTCCCACGTTGCCAGCTGCTCCTCCTTCGGCCAGCTCCAATCCTTTATTTTCCCGTCGATCCTTCTTTCTACAGCATAATTTTTAGTTTGATTATCTTTAGTTAGGTTTCTTGTTTGGGGTTATGTTGAGGGATGCCAGGAATTGTTTCCAAGATAAATGATGAGCAATCGTTTATTTGTACTAACGCGAGAATATTTATTAAAGTATTTTGATTACAATTATGATGATGTTAAATGGAATAAATATTTGATGAGCGAAAATTGTTCAGAAAATCCTTAACATTTCCCCCGTATGTCGACGAAAATCACGTTCGCCGCCCACCGTAGGTGTCCTAGTCCGAGGACTTGGGCGTTTCTGAAGGAATAGGCAGCACAGATATTTTCGCTGGAACGCGGTAGTTGCCGTTTTTAAGCTCACGACGCGAACAAGTCCATCAGAGCCCGGATGGGTGTCTGTAATTCGAGCCAGTTTCCATTGAGTAGGGGTGCTTTTTCATCTCTAACAAGCACAAGTTCTCCAACCTTGACATTCGGTTCTTGTTTATGCCATTTGGAGCGAACTTGCAAATGATGTAAATACTCTACAGACCATCTGCTCCAGAAGTCTTGATATATCTGGCTAAGTTGTTTCCAGCGGTACAAAACACCACTCTTTGTATCGAGAAGATTAGGTTCTGGCACGCTGGTAAGAGCGCGTCCAATTAACATGTGCCCTGGTGTCAACGCAGCGAAATCCGTAGGATCATCTGTGAGTGCCGTAAGTGGTCTAGAGTTTAGACACGATTCGACTCGCTTGAGCACTGTGTAAAATTCTTCAAAGGTGAGTGTTGTAGTGTTGATTGTGCGTTTTAACAAGGCTTTCATGCTTTTAACGCCGGCTTCCCAAAGCCCGCCAAAGTTTGGAGCTCCTGGGGGTATGAAGTGCCAGTTTATACCAGTCCGTGAGGCATAGCTAGCCGCGGCGTCCAACTGCTTCCGAAATTCTTTAAGTTCTTCTTTCGTGAGCGCGTCAGCACCAACAAAGGTAGTACCTCTGTCGCTATACATGTCTGAGCAGATGCCACGTGCAGCTACAAAACGTTCTAATGCATGAATAAATGATTGAGTTGTCATGTCGCTTACCAACTCAAGATGAATGCCTTTACTGGCCAAACAAACGAACAATGCCACGTAACCTTTATAACTCTTGTGTCCCCGCCCCTTGGTTGCTCGTATATTGAATGGTCCAGCGTAATCGACGCCGGTGTGCATGAACGGGAATGTTACAGTGCAACGTGCTGCCGGAAGGTCGCCCATCATTTACTTTTGTGGGGTGCAGCTATGGCGATAACACTTGACACAGCTGCGTATTACGCGTTTCACTTCCGTACGTCCATCGATAACCCAGAACTGGCGTCTTACATAACCCAGTGTTACTTGCGTACCGCCATGAAGACACCGCTGATGAGCATGGTGCACAATTAAAGACGTGAGAGGATGCCGTTTGGGCATGACAATAGGGCATCTTTCGTTGAACGGCATATCTGCTTGTTGCAATCGCCCGCGTAGACGCATAATGCTTTCAGAATCCAGTGTTAGACTCAGCTTTCTTAGCTTACTTTTTTTTGAAAGTTCTTGTTGTTGTTGTAGAGCTAAAATTTCTTGCTTAAATTCAGTTTGTTGCGTCATCTTAATGAGTATCTTTAGCGCTTTGTACCGTTCTGGCCAGGTGCAAAACGATGTCAGAACACTCGATTTATTTCGGCACTTATTTGCAAACCGTAAGCACCATCCAATTATAGCGATGAGTTTGTCGAGGCTCGAATATTTTGCAGTGATTATTAAGTTGATTATTAAGTTGCACTGTGCAAACAGTGACTTTTCTGGTTTCCGGGATATTTTCCGGAAAGTTTATTTTGTGTTGAGGCCAGTATTGTTCATTCAAGGAAAGCCATGCTGACCCGTTCCACCATAGTGTGTTGGACAGTAAATTGTTGGCCGAAATACCTCTCGAAGCACAATCTGCCGGATTGTCCTTCGTTGAAATATAGCGCCAGGCTGCGTCGGAAGTGACGTTCTGAATTTGCGTGACACGGTTCGAAACAAACTGCTTCAATTTGCCTGGTGACGATCGGATCCAACAGAGCGCAGTTACGGAGTCCGTCCACAGTAGACATCGATCAAATTTGAACGATAATGCATCTTTGGTTTTTGCCAAGAGAACCGCAGCGAGACTAGCACCACACAACTCAAGTCGTGGAATTGACAGTTGCTTTAAAGATGCCACTTTCGTTTTCGCCATTAGCAAATTGACTGAGGTATAACCGTCAGTTGTTACCTTTATGTAGATTGCAGCAGCGTACGCTGCGCTCGATGCGTCTGAGAAAGCGTGTAGTTCCACGGTGCAGTTCGCGACTACTTTTAGCCAACGCAGGATATGCAAATTTTGAAGTTGTTGTAATTCGTTTCGATAACTTTTCCATTCGTGCTGAAGATCTTGG